TGTGATAATTGAAATTAAACAAGACTGAGGAGGACATCAAGATATTTACCAACAACATGAGAATTCATGCATATATGATCTATACTCTCTCTCTCTCTCCCTCTCCCATTAATGGGGATTCAATTGAAGTGCTCTATTATTCTAATGGAGTTAATGAAAAAACTTTTGTTTTTTTTTTTTCACAATTGGGCACAGTCGTGAAGTTAATGGGATAATAAAGATGTACGATGAAAGTGCTCCATTTTAGTGAAGATGTCCCTTTTGAACTTCCAACGGGAATTCAGACGTCCTTGTCTGAGACTTGAAAAAATCAGTCGGTTTCTATGAAATGAAATTACTAGCTTTAGCTATTAACTGGTACTAACAATTAATTTGTGGCCATTTTTTTCCTTAGTAACGTGATTTGACTGTGTAGTCTAGATGACTAGGTTTTGAATGTTAAAATATATTGCAGGGGTGTGATGCTTCAGTGTTGCTTGATGGATCCCATAGTGGCCCTAGCGAGAAGGACGCACCCCCAAATCTGAGTTTAAGAGCTGAGGCATTCAAGATCATTGATAGCCTTCGGGAGCACGTCCACAAGGAATGTGGAAGGGTGGTCTCATGTGCTGATATTGTGGCACTTGCTGCACGCGACTCTGTTTTCCTGGTAAAAACAAAGATAATTTCAAAAAATTACCTTTCAAAATTGATATCTTGTTTTTGCTTAGCCATGTAAATTTAGGATGAAATCCGTGAAGGCATTTTTTTTTCTAATAGGAGAAATATGCGATTTAAGAAGCGGAGAGAGAGGGAACATAAGGATTAGAGAAGGATGAATAGAGTTTGAGATGGATGAGTATATAGATAAATTGATTGCAACATGTTTTATCAAGAATAAACAATGTCTGGCAACTACATTATACATAACATATTTCCTATGATATTGCACTACGCACCCTATATTGCAGAGTTTTGTTGATCTCTTGGTATGTTCGAACAGTTGTTCGCATATGCGTTTCATTAAGGCAATCTTAAAATAGATTGCACGTATAATATTTCAGTGACACGTTGGGTTTCATGCTATTGTAGAGTGGAGGTCCGGACTATGAAATACCCTTGGGAAGAAAAGACGGGTTAAACTTTGCCACGAGAAATGCAACATTAGCTAATCTTCCGCCACCTACCAGCAACGCAAGTGCCCTTCTTGCCTCTCTTGCCACCAAGAATTTCGACGCAACCGACGTAGTAGCCCTCTCCGGTGGCCACACCATCGGAATCAGCCACTGCACTTCCTTCACTCCTAGACTGTATCCAACACAAGATCCAACCATGGAGGAGACGTTTGCCAATGACCTTAAGCAAACTTGTCCAGAATCTAATTCTACTAGTACTACTGTTTTGGACATTCGAACTCCGAACTTATTCGACAACAAATACTACGTTAATTTGGTGAATCGACAAGGGTTGTTTACATCTGACCAAGATTTATACACGGATAGTAGAACGAGTGACATTGTCACAAGCTTTGCTTCGGATGAGAAATTGTTCTTTGAGCAGTTTGTGCTTGCCATGCAAAAAATGGGGCAGCTCAGTGTTCTGACTGGTGGACAAGGAGAAATTCGTGCAAATTGTTCAGTGAGAAATTCTGATAACAAGTCTTATGTGTCTTACGTGGTGGAGGTTGACGATGAATCCAAGGCTGAATTATAAGGTTTTAGGACTTTTTGTCTTGGACTTTCTTTGTACGATATCGTTTGTTGTTTATGTCATGGTTTAGGTGAACTTGTCAAAGTGAGTTGGTAGTGTATTGTGTATTGCAAATCAGTTTGTAGGACCAAAACAAATTGTTATACTAAAGTCAACTTTTCTTAGCAAAAACTTAGAAATTGTGCTCTATATTCTTTGTTCTTGATTCTAGTACATGTGAGCTTCCTAATAAGGCTGACTTGGTTCATATGGGCGCCACCAAAGTTCATGGTTTTTGTTGTAAAATGTGGAGCAATAAGCAGAACCTTGTGAATTCTTTAAGGTCAGAGTTCCGACTATTCCAACTTAATCCGAAAAGGGCCATGATTTTACCTTGGAGTACTTCAATCTTTTTTCTTTAGCTAAATTGAACATTTGCCTTATCGGTTTTTGAAAACTTTCAAATGCACATCGCTTTCGTTCTAACAAACGAAGAAATTAACACCTATTTTCACAAATCATGTGGAAAGAGAGAAGAAAAAAGGTATCAACCATCAGAATTTCATGCCCATATATCACTAGACTTACTCTTATCCAAGTTCTTAGATGCTAGTGATATAGTTTTTCCTAGCAACGATAAGCCTAAAAAGATTATGTAAGGAGTTAGTAGGTATACAGAAAGGGTCGTCAAACCCCCCGACCTATAACCCAAAGAGGGACTTAGTCCCTTTTTCGTGATCACTGAGCTAAAGCTCAGTGGTTCAGTGGTTAGACGCTAGTGATATAGGAAAAGTAAATTTTGCCGATAAACTATCCTTGTATTGTAGTGCTTATTACATGATTTTCGTAGTAACGATAGAAATAGTTTTTTTATGTCTTTTTTTTTTTTTGCTTTTTAAATAGGGGAAACCAAAAGCACAAGGGAAATTTGAAAGGGGGTAATTCCACTTTACACTCTTCAATTATATCTCAATTTCTACTTTGATCCTTCAATTATAAATTGATCCTTCAATTATAAATTGAAACACCTTAGTCCCTAAACCATTAAAACCTTCCCATTTAAGAACAATTATCAATGTGATTCTAAAAACCAATGAAATGCTAGTCATTTTAGCAACATTGTTGCATGTTGCAAGAGCATAGAAGGAAAATCAGATTAAACAATAACAAAGACAAAGATTTCAAAGTTGGAGGGAAGAAAGAATATTAGGGATCCAAAAAGGGAATCGAGATATAATTTATAATTTATTGATCAAAGTGGAATCAATATATAGTTTAAAAACTAGAGTGTTCCGATTTAGAGTTTGAAAACCAAAGTGGAAATTGGGATATAGTTGAAGGGTGTAAAATATAATTTACCAATAGCTAGTGAACTTACCCGCGATTAGAAATAGAATCCGAGCATTGACTTTACCAACCCCTGCTGGTCTGACCCGAGAGGCACAGCAGACTGAACTCCGCATAAATCCAAATATTGCAGTAGGCCCATTACTAACGATTGTATTGCAATGTTAGGTGGATTAGACTGCAGGTTAGAGATTTAAGGGGCCCTAAGCATGGGCTAAGAGAGTTACGTGCCCATTTATACAATGGGTCCCTTCACTATTTTCATCAGGCGTTTTTCCTTTACTTTCTATCTTCCAATTTCCTTTTGCCTTTTTCACTTCTTCAGCAAACTTATATGGTTGACTCAAGTCATATATGAATCAGTCACTAAAACCTGGTATTCTATATCTAATTCTCAGGCATAATATTATCACTAAAAGTAACTTTTTAGTTTATCATCTATTAATCACAATCACTTTTTGATCAAGTAAAATTGCATTACCAACAGATGTTGATGTAAGTGGCAGGGTTTTCATCCTTTAACCGCGAAATTTTGGATTCAAAAACCATGAAAATGAAAAGGATAATATTAATAGGGTTTCTCCTTTAAGAAACTCGATTCGATTTAAACAAAATTAGTTGCACGTCGTAAAACGAATACGAATAACTCCATTGACGTATGAATTACGTAAATGCAATTATAGCCATTTGAATCATTTCAAAGTTCCAAAAGGGGTTCAATCCTCTTAAATTAAGGCTTTAGACACCTTTGAAAAGCTCGATGCCCCTTTTAGACACTTGGTTAAAGCAAAAAGTTTGGTCCTTAAAACATATATATTCGCCTATTAAAGTGACCATGCTGGACACAATCCAATTGGTATTTACATAGATTTCCCCCTGCCCCAAAGACAATTGCCTCGTCCTTTTCAAGACATGATAATGCCTCTGAGCCCCACTCAATACCCCACCTGATTCTTGATGGATTTTTAGCCCTCCATTTTAACATACGAAGTTGTGAAATCAGAAATGTGAACCCAATTTGGGCCACCCAAATGAGCAATCTTGCAAAAGCTAGTCCCCACTAATTTCCTACTATTGCCTCTCATGATTCCCAGCGTGAGAAAAGAAAATTTAGAAAAAGCCATCCTTTTCCAACATAACCACATGGACCTCACAAAACATTTGATGCTTCTCCTGTTCATGCATATGATTTTGGTGCAAGCCTGTATCTCCAACATCAATTGCATGTACAACAATTCTTGCTTCTTCTTTTTTTTTTTTTTTTTTTATATATATATAAATTTGTAATAGCTATCAAGATGTTGACAATCAATTGCTGTAGCTGGAAATGAATTTCACAGTGAATACACATTTGTCTTTGGAGTTTCTACACAACTCTCCCCAGTCTCCCAATGTGGGAGGGTAATATACAGTTACAAATTTGGACTGTAGAAGCTTGTTTAGTCCGGCATCACAATCAAGAATCAAGAGATTCGGCCTAAATCAACTTCACCAATGCTTGGCAGTAATAAGATATTGAAGCCAAGATCGACCAAGGACCAATTAAAGAATTGGGTAGTCAAGCAACGTAGAGTATTGGTTCTTTTAATTGTTAGCATTATTGAGACTCATAGTTTTCTGTTATTTTTCATAAGACCCTCTCAACCTATTTTGAAGTTCATTGTATTCTAAACCAGGCAGTAATTGTTAAAATAAAACGTTCCTCCTTCCGAAGTTCAATGTACTTGATTTTGTTGTGGTCCTCCATTAAGATCACTGTAAAAAAATTGAAGTCGATTATTGGATGGAGTCCTATTTTACTTTCACTGTGCTATTCCACAATATGTCCCTCTTGGAATTTCACTAGCCTTCTAGAAATTGAGTTTAGAAAAGGAGGAATAAAAAAAGAACGTTTTTCTCATGAGTACCTAACCTCTGCTAGACTCCCAATTAAAAATAGCGTTCTTACTGCAATGTGTGACGGTATAAATTGGTTAAATGCCTCTGTGTCATCATGCATATATATATGATGCAAAGCAAGGAAATAGAAATGATCACATTAGGCAAAAAAAAGTGTCCAATACATTGTTGAGGCATGGAGAAAAGTAAGTCATTCCCACAATATTCATCATCTTACTCTAGTGAATATGGTTTCCAGGATCAATCAAACTCGTACATTTTTAATGGTCCAAGCACAAGGGGTGAAGGATTTACAGCATCAAATGATCCAGAGCTCAAAAGGAAGAAGAGAATTGCAGCATATAACATGTTCACAACTGAAGGTAAACTCAAAGCAACTGTAAGGGAAAGCTTCAAGTGGATCAAGACCAAACTTAGTGATGTACGTTATGGTTTCTAGGCTTGTCTTTCTTCTTCCAATTCTTCTTCGTCTCCTTTTCTTGTTTTGGCTGTGGAGCCTTGGGGAATTTCTCCATGCTTGTTAAAGGATGTAATTGTGATTCTGTTTCCTGATCAGACAAAAATTTGATGAAATGGAGACAGTCGCATGCGTTAGTTGTAACTTGTGTCACGAATGCAAATTCTGTAAGCCTGTCGAGATGTAAATTCTTGTTCCTGTTAATAAGAAACATCGTGTATCTTTTCAGAAGGGATTTGTGTGGGTAAGTAGTGAATGGCGATAGAAGATCAGAACACTAAACTACGTCCTTACTATCACTTAATTTTCATGTTGAAGTAACTAGGTTAACGAATTTTTTCTCTTTTTTTTTTTTTTGTGGGTGGAATAGCATATGCAATTTGAACATTTGCTACTGAAAGGAGGGTGAGAACAGAAAGAAGAACTAGATTTAGGTGTCCATATAGAATTCAACAATTTTAAGCACCAATCAAGAATTCAAGCGCAAATAGGACTATAGAATTCAAGTTATGCAGATACTTACCATCTGAGTTGGACTTTCATTGCTGAAATGTTTGGATTTCAATTTTGTATGAAGAAGAAAATTTCAAGGTACCCCTCGATCAAATGCTTTTTTTAATTTTATTTTGTCACTATTATTATTATTCTTGTTAAGCAAAGATTTCTGAAGTGTAAGCAGCTGCATAATCAGGAAATTTGACGGGCATTAGGGATCTTCTATTGCCCATTCAACATTTGATATCTTAGTGTGGCTACTACTGCTGGCATTGGCTGGATAAAAATGATTGGTGGCAGGGATTTTTTTTCCCTTCTCACTCCTTGATATAAGTGGTGGTAAGACAGCAACAAAGTTCTTCTCTATTTTCCAGCCCATTGGAGCGGCAGTCCACAAAATTCTTGAAGTCTCTCTTAAACTTCCCTAGAGTCAACGATCACTTTGGAAGGTTTAATCTTTACTTTCGTGGATACCATAAAAAATTAGCTTTGTGCTTTTCTCTGCTATTTTTTGGAAAGGTGATAATTTTCTTTAATTGGAAGAATAATTGTTCATGCATTGGCATATGGAACTTGTACTGAGTAGTTATGAAACCGTCATGCCCAACTGTTAGAACATTAGTGCTGGTTGCAATTGCTATAACTCACTTTTGGTACTCTGATGGACTATATAGACAGATTTCAAATTTTGAGAGCCAAAAGAAACTACTGTCTAACAAGATGTTCAATTGGATCCATCTAGCACCATCCACCCTCTAAACAATTTTGGCGCAGTTCATAGCAAATTACACAATGAAGCGAGGATATGCAACCGGTAATGGGAAAAGAATTAGTAATGTCTTCTGATTTCAACAATTAATGTTCAAGGAAAGGACAAAGTGATGCAGGATACACATGAAGGAAAGAAGCATAAGTTTTAATTTTCTTCTAGACTTGATTAAGATGGCCTAATCAACTGCATGTAGCTCAAGGAGCTTGTTAAGATCCCGGTTTCGATATTCCCTGGTGGATATAAACCTTTGTACCTGCTCACGGAACTGGATAATGTTGTCATTCTTATCATTGATGTTCATGTTGTAACGAGAGCTTCTTTTGGCATCCGGCAATGGGGGCCGATTTTTTATGTTTTTATTGGCCTGAGGACGGGCTTCTGTTCTTGAAGAATTCTGGCGATTAGGTATGTCTGGTGATGCCAAATTCCGAGGTAGACTCTCTTTGTTCCCCATGTCTGCTGCGTCAAAGGAGGTGATGATTGTTGTCTTCCCACTAGAGGATGTGCTTGTTGCACTGCTTCCAGGTCCTTGACTGAGTGTGATTGTTTCTGCACTTTTTTCTGGCTCCTGGAAAGTAGCATAGGACACAGATACCACAGATTCCAAGTTTAAGGTTACAAATTATAGATCAAGTGTTGTGCTAATTAAGAAGGGCTGTCTGTCAGATCGAAACATTACCAAGCCAATGCCTTCTTCCATACGTGCAGGTTTAGTTAAAATGTGTACGACTCATTACATACCTCAGAGCGACCTGGATCTCCTGGTTTTTCTGCTGCTGTATCTTTGTTCCTGTGTACTATATGTGATTGAGACCGGTGCCTCATTTTGGAACGTCTATGCCTGTATGGGAAACAAAATCAACGCTCAGTATACGTTTGATAAAACTGAAATCTGAAATTTGAATCCTTTACTGAATTGCAAATACTAAAAATCCTGAGTACATTCTACATTAAGTGATAAGTGAATAACCTATCAGTTATCACTTATTTTTTAGAGTAAGTTTTGCCTACATAAGTCAGACCTCTATTTTTTGTTATCAAACATATCTGAACATGTTAAGATCTGAATCCATTAAGTTTAAGTACTGAATTGAATTATCAAACAAGGTCTCAGATAACAAAGCACTACAAAATCTGCTATTCAAGTTCTGTCAATCTGTCATAGATACCGTAAGCCAAATGAACTTTCTTGAGCAAACTAGCTGCATACTAAGGCCTTCTTCAGCTTCATCAAGTAATTATAGTGCTTATTCACTAGTATGTTAAAAGTTCGAGAGTACTGCATCAACCATATAAAAAACAGGATCAAGAACCTACAATTTGGAACTTCTTATTATGCCCTGCAGTGAATTGGCATCATAATATGGGTATCAGTTATAAATTGGAAACTCTTCGGATTGGCTGATGTATACTACATTTTTAAGCCAAAAGTAATTTGTAAAACTATTGTTTTACATTTGCTATTTCTTATTCAGGAAAACACATGTCAAATAACTCACGTTCTCCTTTCAGTTCTTTGAATTTCTTCATCTTCCTCTTTGTAAGTCACTGGTAATCCAGAGAGATCACACGCCAAAGGACTTGTACAAAAGAACTGAAATAAATAGGGAGTCCAGTATGTCAGTTTCATGTACACAGTTTAAGCAAGTGATAAGTTCCTGCAGCATGCTTCCAAATGTTAAAACTAAATAAGTAATGGAACTATTCTTTCTTCAATCATGCATTAAAGAACAGGAAAAAGGATAAACAAGGCTCAAACACTGCCTGAAATGTCCTATTTTCAGAACCTTTGATATGTCAGTTCAGATTCATTCTGCAACGAATTTATTACTTTAGCAAGATATGCACTTACAGATCTTTCTTACCTCATATTGAAGAGCTGATGCTGCAGAACCGCGAGTTTCAGGATCAAGAGCAAGAAGAGTGCTTAAAAGACCTACAGAAGATGCAGGAAAATTCCTGAAAGCTTCTCTAAGTCTAGGCTTATAGGTTTGTGGTGGTCTGAATGTTGTTGCCACCTTCGCTCTTTTCCAAAAATCATTTGAAGGTGTGCCACAAAGCTTAAAAATCTTGTGAACTTGCTCTACCTAAACAAAACAATAATGCAAACAAGTTTGCATTTGGTGACTAAAAATTAAGAGGGAACTATAAAGAACGAACATATATTATATAGCTATTTTCAAGATTTGTCAAACAGGTTTTGCACTGTTCTATACTTTGTTATGATCTATTTGACATGCTCTCTTTTCCTATCATACTTTTCCACCTCTGTCAACTTATGCTGATGTATCATGTATGTTACAATGAATGTTTTTGCATACTTCAAACCTGTATAAACAAACTCAATTACCTCTGTCCTACCAGGCATAATTGGCCTCCCTATAAACATCTCAGCCATGAGGCATCCTGCACTCCAAAGATCAATACCTATTCCATACTCTGTTGCGCCTAGGAGTAGCTCTGGAGCTCTATACCAAAGTGTCACAACTCGGCTTGTAAGTGGGCGCTTTTTCTCAGGATTATAATAATTAGCAAGCCCAAAATCTGCGATTTTTAGCATCCCTTTTTTATCAATTAATAAATTGGATCCTTTGATGTCTCTATGCAGAATGCCTTTCTCATGGCAATGCTGCAGCCCAGAAAGTAGTTGATGCATGTAGCACTTGACCTGCACTTTGTCAAAATATTGAATCAGCAATTAACAAGGTCATGCTTAAATATCCAAACGGACAATAAGCGAGTGCACATGGAGAACTTTCTAACCTGTGGTTCAGTTAGCCTCTCATCAGGCCGTGTGATAATGCTTGCTAAATCACATTGCATGTAATCAAAGACTAGGTAGAGGCTATAATGCATTCTTGAAGTAGCCAAACCTTCAAGCTTCACAACATTTGGATGATCCAATTTCCTCAGAATCCTAATCTCTCTTGCCATGAATTTCACACTCTCAGGCTCTGTTGTGTCAAAACGAACTTTCTTCATAGCAACTATCTTTCTGGTGTACTTGTCTCGAGCTTTATACACATTGCTATATGTCCCTTGGCCTATCTACAAAATTGCATATTATCACTAAGCACAGATATTACATTTCTCAAGAAGCATCTGTTAGCTATCTTCGGTAGAAACTGCAGACGTAGGTATGCTAATGACTTAATAAACAATTTAAGAATAGCTTATACGTGCAATATCGGTTTGAATAGCAAACTACAGCAAACAAAAAAAAAAGAAAAAAGGGACAGATCATTTCTGATTAATCAAATGATGCTATCAAGTAGCTGATCCTCCATATAGGAGCATATGCGAACCAAAAACAAATAGCGCTAAAACTAACCTTGTCAATCTTGTCATAGGTTTCTGCACTTCTCGGAATTAGACCTTCTAATGCATCTCTAGGGATGTTATCAATCAGCCATTTTGGCCATCCATCAACTAGCTCACCATCTTCTCCATCCCTTCTAGTTGATGATGTTCGAACAGAGGCAGTTCCAACACCACCATTTGCACTCGAACTGTATGTCTGCACCTCTAGATTGATTGGCTTCTTCTCTTGACTTCTTTTATTCCCAGCGCTTGATGTAGTTCCACCCCTACCATAATTGCCACCTTCTTCACCTCCATCATAACTAACTCGTGCTTCTTCTCGAGTGATTGGCTTCTTTTCATGACTCCCTCTCCTGCCAGTGCTTGTCTTTCCACTACCACCTTCATGCCTTGATTCATGCCTGAACAATTGACCTGCTCCAATTGTATAATGCCTCTGTCCAGTTGATTTCCTTGCTGCTGCATAACCTCCTTTAGCATCATAACCATTTTCCATCTCCAACTTCAGCAATCCTGGAGGAGGTGAATTCATTGAAGGCCTGCCCTGAGTACACCCCATACACTAAGCAAAAAAGAATGCAAAATCTTTAGATGATCAAGAGAAAATAAGCTGAAAGGTGACATATCCATGCAGCAACTGCAAATGAGTAAATCAACAAAAAGGAATAAAAGAAGACATATGGTGAAGAGGGATAATAGAGATGTAGGCAAGTCTGTAGTAAGCCAAGAAAGAAAGGAAGCAAAGGGTAACAGAAGAAGATGTCAAAGACGAGGAGGCCGGCTGGCCGGCCTTTTGGAATAATTCTTTTAAGTGACATGCTTTGCTTGGTAAAATACTTATAGCCTACCAAGTTTCAATATTTTTAAGCACAATCTTAGCTTCCTCCGGCGAAGAGGTGTTAAGCAACATAACAGAATTATGCTTTGAATTCATAGAATCTTCTGATTAGTGATATCTTCCTAGCTTCATCCGAAAAAGTAAATTATGTAACCAATTTAAGGAGAAACAAATGGCTCCCTTTTAGTTCTCTAACTGCTGCTTAATTTACACTATGCTGGCAAGTTAGATTAGGAAATTCTGATGATTAAAAAAAATTGTAATTTTGATTCTAGGAACATTATTGTTAATGGTCTCACATCATTTTGGCTACAGGAAAAAAAATGTGATTTTACCACGGGATCAGTTAGTTCTCAAGCTTAGGAATATCAAATCGGTTCTTGAAATATGCTGCTCTACCGTTCTCTTTTCTCTTCTTGAAATTCATGTAGATGTAGAAATTGGGTACAACCTTAGTGTAGCGCATAATTAGCGGTACACTTTAAAATGATCCAGCGCTAGTTGCAGGCATGTCATTGATTCATCAAATTTCCAGTTGCATCTTACCTACTGATGTAAGCCAGCGAGATTTCAAGTTGATCAAATCCAGCTTCTGCATCAAGATCACTAAAGCTATTCCTCAGACATAAGAAAGAGTGAATTAGAGCCGAATTAACGCAGATGTTTGTCTTGAAAAACGTCAAAATGTGTACATGACCACGTCCTGCGTTTGATTCTTATTTGATGCTATTCAGTTCCATTTCGTTAATCCCTTGAGAAGTGCTAGAAGGAATGAGCTGAAAATTGTTGAATCGAAAAATTGGTATATCTAGATAAATCAACAAGAACTAAGGCAAAGGTACACAAATCAACAAGAACTAAGGCAAAAGTACACAAATAAACAAATCAAATGGGATGTTCTTAGATTGTACCATTCGATTGATGACAGCTTAACACATGGTCCAAGAAAAGGGTCATTCCCCCATAGATATTTAAAGTTAACAATGAGCCAAAAGATAGAAAACGAAGGGAAGGGAAAAGGAAAGGAATTTGGTTGGATTGCTTAATTCTATGCCTGTAGAGAGAACTGGTCAATACAATTATAGTTTAGGATGGGACAAAAGGGTTGGGATACATCTGATGTTCAACGTTTAGATTACCGATGCCCTGAGCTTTCTTGAAGAAAAGAGCTATGACGGACATGCTTCACCCTTGTTTTATCTTCTTCCATTTAAGGCTCTTATTAACATGCCGTTGACAGATGTCTAGCATTTATTGCGGTGGATAATATCTGGATTAGCTAGACTGATTAATAAATCCACTTCGCGGAAAGAAAAAAAAAAGCGTGTTTAAAAGTGACCAACTTATGCTTTGTTGCAGGAACAATACATTAAGGAGTTGTTCAGATCTAACATGATCCTGTTCTTGATACCAGGGCTTTCTCACAAAACAATGGGAACCTTAAGTTACAACGTAATGTCAATGGACAGAATCCGAATGAAAATCCCAAATCCAATTATTGTTTGAAGGTTCAATCCTGTGCAACTTACAGCTATCCTGGAACAACATAAATTCCTAAAAATGAACTTTTTATTGCATTCCCTTTTTTTTGTCAAGACCAAAAGCATTAGGTGAACATATTATATATACACACACCTCGGTCTCCTTCTGAACCAAGAAGAGAGGCCAAAGCAGAAGAGTATTAATCGGTTTCCATTGTTTTTGGAGACTCTGAATCATTTTTCAACAAGATGCTTAAGACGTGCCTCCACTCATCGATTGGCATCATTGACTGGACAGCGAAAACTCCCAAGAACATTGGAGAAACCATGACTTGTATATTATGGGTAAACTCAAAGGTTCAATAGATGCAATATTCTGGAATCGAGTGACCTGAGCAAAACGAATGTGGAACAAATCGTGCCAAGAAGTTACAAGGGAACATCAACTATGTGTACATAAGATACAGTAAAGAGGGGCTGGAGCAGTGGCCTTATGGTACTCCATTGAAGAATCATTCCAGATCAACAATTCCAAAATTGGACAGCAGAATCTTAACTTGATCTACTAAGTCAGAACCAGTTGCATATTCTGTTAACATCCCAACAGCAAAACCAAACATCGCCCATCTGCTCAATCAGGATTTGAGAACAGAGAGACAGAAATCATCTTCTATGAAAATAATGCATAATGGAAAACAAATCACAAAATACACGAACACCATGGAAAACAATAACCTGCCTTCTTGACATATCTCTTATTAACAAGTAGCAGAAATAGCAAAAAATGCTACCAAGGATAACTAGTAAGCAGTTTAACTAAAGTGATAATATGACTGTTTTGTGGTTTGGCTTTTACATTTGTTCAAATAACCAGCATTCTGTTTATGACTGCAGCTATAAAAAATGAAGTGGATACTAGTTTTATTTTTCTCCACCATAACTATCAGTGCGTGCTAAGGTAAAGGGAAGAAATATAACAGTGGTTGATTAGACTATGTTACAAATGAATTCAGCACTAGTACTGATTGTAAAAGAAGCTCAAAGATAAATCGTCAATGTAGATCATTTTAATGCTGACAGCAGATAGGAAATGATTTGTGATTCTTCTAGTTCACATAGTTAGACATATCAGCTATGTAGTAATAACTCATAATGAAGCACATACTCACAGCTTACTGGCTTAATTTTGATAGCATTTGCCATAACTATTCCACAATATCAACGAATGGTCTGGAAACTGGAACACCAAAGATCCATTTCTACTATTTCACTCAATTTTCAAAAGTGACAATATCATTTTTCTCATCATAATCTTAAGCTTTTGTGTGTGGGAGAGAGAGAGAGAGAGAGAGAGAGAGAGAGAGAGATGAAATAAGCAATAAAGAGATTTTGTGTAAAGCGTCAAGTTCCTACAAGAGTGAAATTACTTTTATCTTTCTAGATTCTGCAATAGTTATAATGAATGAGAAAGAATACTTCTCAGGCAAATTACTCTAGACCCCTTCAGAGAAAACTACTTTACAAAAATCTAGACTCTTTGGAGAATGCAAAAGTTATTTGTTTGGAGTCCTTGCGATATTGCATACAATGTCTGAAACATCAGTGGAAAAGAAGTTGTCCCTGTAGAACAATAACAAAGTCGGCTAGCATTCAATGTAAACTACGTTTAGGCAGAGATTTGAGAAGAATAAAGACACATGTATACAAAACAACATTATGAGCAGTAAGCAGACTCCTAAATGCAATATCTAATCACAGAAACTAAGTTGACAACTTCCATAACTCAACTCAAGAGGTGTGACTATAATTTGTATCACTAATTTCAGATAATATCCTGCCCTTCGTTAGCTCAAATGTCAGTCAGAATCAGAAAGCACGTTAATCAACAATCCTAGCACACAAAATAAAACAAAAAAAAACAGACGAATGTCAAAATAGGGAATTGCAGGTTTTCTAATTAAGTACTCTTTAGTCATCTGACTACTTCTGAAAAATCCTTACAATTGAATTTCCACTTGTTATAGCTTTTACCCTACTACCAGCAACATATCCACATGAAAGACTATCATTGGCTGTTCCCACACAAATATGTGTTCTAACATTGTATATTCCTAATGGTATTGATTAATTCGACTAGCAAGAAGGTATTTATGCCACTAGAACAGCAGGATTGTCGCAACCTTCAGTCTCATGAACTTTTGCAAAATGAACTCTCTTGTAACTGGATTGATTCGTTAATCACCTAGTATAGCTCATTAGGATGACCATCCAAAAATCAGGTTGTTCTGAGTTTCTCATTCATGTAACATGTGCCTTTGGTTTTCTCTTCTTAAAGACAATTTCTACAAATTGCTTTGTAATAGTCAGAATTCAATGAGGCAAGAAATTGATAATTGTCCATGGATGGCAGATTGTTGCAATCCTCACAATAACACCCAACAATCAGATGTTTTCCCATATATGAGAACCACCATTGTCACTATCAATTGAGATTTTAAATTTTAAATCGATTAATAAGCACTAGCTTAGTAGCCAGAGCACCAAAACGGAAAGAAATACAGTATACCTTTTCAATTAATCAATCAGGCAACTGTGACATTCTTAATTGAACCAGGCATAGGTCTAACATCATGTCTAGATAAAGCTTTAAAATTTTCACTATTTTCCCCAGCAGATGAACTGGGGACGATAGGGTTCTTAACACAATAAGCGCACATTACCAACACTAAATCTCTTGGTGACTTAGCAACTGCAATTGTTACCAAGACTGAATCTCTAAAACCCAAGATTGGACTAGAATACCATCCTCATCAATACTGAACTACATACTGAAACACTCTCAATTGACCTAGGCATAAGCCTAACGTCATATCTAGATAAAGCTTTCAAAATTTCACTATTTCCCTCTGCAATTGAGCTGGGGACAATAGAGTTCTCAACACAATGAGTGCACATGACCAAGACTAAATCTTTTGTTGACTCAGCAACTGCATGTTTTGCCAAGATTGAATCGCTTTTAAGACCCAAGATTGGACGAGAATACCATCCTCATCAATACAGAAATATATAGCGAAATACCCAAATACCGCATCTACTTAGTCTTATAATCCAAGAGAAAGGTGCATAAATTAAAGCCGATAAACCAAAAAACTGTTAGAAAGTTGAAATTACATTATGTATCTACCTGCCATTTGCAATCTCATTCTTGCCAATAAAACCAAAAAAGGGACCTTGATCTGC